AGACTTTCCGACCGACCCTTCGCCTACTACAATCACTTGATAAGTTTTGTCAGCCATCGATTTAATTCAGTTTTATAAGTTCTTTTCAAAAAGGAAAAATGCAAAAATCTTTCGATTGAGAAAAAGAGAACTTTCGTGGTATTCCACACTTCTCTCTGAGTAACTATTTTTACGCTCCGTATTTTTACATCTCTGAATCACTTTTTCTTTATTCTCGGCCTCAAAATCGACTTCTTCCTCGGGAAGAGGCACACAATACTTCTGCTTGTGTTGTATAAATAAATTCACCTTTATGAACTATACCACAACTATTTTTTTACTATTTTTTCCTTTTTTGCATGTTAAAAAAATAGGGTTTCTGCATTCAGACTACCATGTTTTTGATTGAATTCTTAGGGATATATTGGTGGTCTTTTTTCGTCAATTTTTAATAAAAAAAGTAGCCAATGATTTCCTTTATTTATCATGTTCTTTTTTCATTATGGAAATATGCTCACAAAAAAAAAGAAGTTGCCTGGGATGTGTTTCATATGTTCTTTCAAAGGAAAATTTTGGTTCTCTTTCTTGTCTTTTTTGTCATGTTAATTCAATTAATTAATTTTACTATAACTATAGAATTTGTAGTAGTTGAATGGATGCATTAGCTCAGCAAATAATTGAGTTAAGTTGATGCTTAATTATTATTATACTAATAATAGTAATAATAATAGTAATAATAGTAATAATAATAGTAATAATAATAATAAAATAATAACAACCACACAAAAAGTAAATTTATTAGTCCGACCACTCGTCGTCGGACGCTTCTTCAGACTCCTCGTCGTCCTGAATGTCTTTTCTTCTATTTGCCATTGCTGTCGCCAACATTGAAGTCAAATCGCCTTGTTGAGCCGCAGTCATTTTCTTTTGCGGGAGGGGTTCTGTCTTCTTCAAGATGTGTCCCCCTTTATTAATGTCGTCCAAGAAACTTGCTTTTGGTTTGACTGCAGGCGCTTGTTTATTCGATTGAGGAGGTGGTGGTATATTTGGTGGTGGAGCAAGTCCTGCTGGTGGTGCCAACCCTGGTGGGGGTAATAAGTCAGAAGGTGGGAGTAAAGGAGCATCCGTAGGAGTTGTGATTTGAGGTTCTTGAATTTTGTCTTTGAGTCGTGGGGCTTGTGGAGGGGGTACTTTAGTATTAATAGGCTTTTCTTCGACTTTTTCTTCGGGCTTCTTCATTTGTGGGACATCACTTTGTTCCTTAACATTCTTGTCATTCAGTGCTGGTGACTTCACAAATATGTCATCGACGTCTTCTTCGAAAGCTTTGAGTTCTTCGTTCACTGCAGTCTCAACGACTGCGTTCTTTACTAACGAATTTTCACTGCCGGGTTGTGCAGTTAATTGGTCTAACACACTTTGATCACATTTCCCTTCTTTCACGGCTTGTTCGACAGTACTTATTAAGAGTTGGACGGTCTCCGGATTACACAGATCCTTCCTTTTCATACCCGCCGCTTTTAAAACAGCTTTGAATTCCGGCGTGAGCAACTTTAAGTCAATTAAAGTCTGCTTTTTCGCTTTGATTAATTCACTGACTTCCTCTCCAATGTTGTCCGACGCAGCACCGACCTTTTGGATCTCATGTGCATTCTCTTTTAGGACTTTAACTATTTGTTCTAAAGAATTCTTTTCTTTCTCAAAAAGATCAGCAAAAAGCTGGATCGTCCCACAATATAATTCTCGGACCATCCGTGTTGTGTCTTGAAGTCCTTGCACAGTGCATTGCTGTCTTAAGGCTTCGGCTGCTTTGACTTCCTCGAGAATCTTTTTCAATTCGGTTGGTTGGAGTTTCATCTTCTTCTCTGCATTGGAAACAGCGCCATTTGCTCGTTTAATGTCGTTGTCGTACCTTTTCTCGAAGTTTGTGAGAATAATTGGATATGTCGTGTAATTTTTTTTAATATTCGGAACTATTTGTTCATTGAAGAATTTTGTAGTTTCTGTTCTATTCGCAAACATGACATTGATGATATCAACAACAGAGTTGATACCTTGATCCAAGTCTTGTATCCCTGTATTGCTTTGAAGCGCCAAAGCTTCTCCCAACATTTTTGTTTGTTGTGCTTGTGAAGTCTCCGACTTCAAATAGCCTTCACTTGCTGAGATAAGTTTCTTATAATTCTTCATACTGTTTTTGACAGCCTTTAATGTTACTTTAATTTGATGTTATGTGGTATTATTTATTTATATGTATAATTCGGATAAATTGTAAGATCAATCTAATATGAACTGCATTTAAATCATATGAAAAGAATAAAACTACTAAATGTGTACTATATAATGACAAACCATGACATTTTTCTTAATTATCTCCTCCATCTTTTTCTCGTCTTTTTTCTCTTTCATCAAATACTGTCCTCCACTCATATCACTCACCTTTGTTTTTAAGTTCAACCGTTTTCTATTTGTTGCTAAAAAATACAATCGACTTTTTTGTATTTTTACTTTTTTTCAAAAGAAAATTGACCATATTTGTAGAAGAATTATAGTATATTTTACTGTATCGTATAGTATCCATAATTAATCATTTGAACGTCTGTTATAAACAATAAGATGAAAACATCTCTAATTATGTTGAAATTTATTGGGGTTTGTTTATAAATTAATTAATATTTACTATTTAAAATATTTTTACTATTCATCAAATTGTAAATTTATAGTTAATAAACCCATACTTTTATTAATTAATAATATATATTGATTAAAAAAATACCATACTAATATAATTTATTAAACTATAATACATGGTTGATTCATACTACTAGAACTATAGTATATTATAGAACATTATACAACAATAAAGAACTATTTAATTTTCAAGTCAAAGAATGGTGTTAAACAAGGACCAATTATTGAACGAATTTTACGCGAGTGTTGAGAAGTCACTTGGGAAGATCTCCTATGCGTGTGTTCATATTCTTATTTGTATTCTCTTTTCTATATCAACTTTTTACCTCATTCCCATCCACGTTGCTTCGACTGATAAACAAACTTCACAAGTAACATATTTGCACACATTTAATTGTCTCATTTTTGCTTCGGTGGAGTACTTTTTACTCAAATGTAAGTCGACAAAAAAGAATATTTACACGTATCGCACGTACTCATTTAAACGAGTTGGGTATTGCAAAATATGTGGTAAAGAGAAATACCCACGTGTCCACCATTGCAGTATTTGTAATTCGTTTGTTTATTAATATTAATAATAATAACTCTTTTCAAAGTAAGTAACACAAGAGGTGTACACTTCGAATGGACCATCACTGTCACTTCTTAAATTGTTGTATTGGGCTTCACAACTTAAAGTTCTTCTTTCTCTTTTTATTATACGCCTTTGCAATTGTCTCAATCCATTTCAGGTTGTCGATACTCGTTCTTGTGTCGCATCAAAAGGTACCAAACTTCTCGTATGTACTCCCATCTATTTCTCTGTTAATATGTCTAAGTTGTGGTATCTCTACCTTTGTGTTACTCGCAGTGCAATTCTTACTCATTTCTTTTAACATGACTACTATCGAGTTCTTTGCTTTTCTCAATAAACTCAAACACGACGAATTTCACTTCAATCACTTCAACAAGTCACTCATCGAAAACTGGGAAGACGCTTTCCATGTCGAGTCATTCGCAAGACTTCTCCTCGCATTTCTACCTTTTTTCGATTTGTAATTTACTCACTTTATATACACATTGTATTGTTTAATATACGACAGCACAAGAATAGTATATTATTATAATCAAATAATTTATTCCATTTATTATAAAATATTAATAAAATATTAATAATAATTTACAAAGTATTAAAAGCACTTTTGTTGTTCGACTGGAACACTTTTTTATTTACCTTTTTATATACAACACCCGAAGTAAGTTCTTTAATAAACTTTGAAAGAGTGACTGTGTTGTACTCATTTGTAGGTTCAAACTTTTTACCGTCAAATTTAAAAGTAATTGGTGGGTTCTTCATTTGACCAAAATCGTCTGTTACAGAGGCATTGACAAAGAAAGTTCCATTTTTATGAAGAACGCCTCGCGATGAGTGACAGTGCCCGAAGCAATGGAGTAGTGGGGGAGTGGTATCAACAAAGTTTCGAAGACGTTTAGAGCCGGCGTGAAATACACCGCCATGAATGAGTTGTCTCCACCTAAGTCCGTAGTCTAATATTCCGAATGGGGGTTCGTGCGAGACACAAATAAGTGGCTTATGAGGGTCTAAAACGCGTGATAAATTGAGTGGAGGTGGGCAGTGGTATTGTATTCCCACAAATTGGAAACCGCCAAAATTGGTGATTTGTCCATTAAGAAGAAGATGAAGATTTTTGATACTGCGGACTTGAGTACAAATTTCGGTCTGTGCGGACATGTCATGGTTCCCAAGACTAAGAAAAGTATTCCCAACTTGTTGTGATTTAATCCAATTAACAAAGGAATCGACTCCTTTTCCTCGGCGAGTAATATCCCCACAAATTATTAAAAAGTCGGTGGGTTGGATTTGAACAAATTGATGAAAGTTGTGCGTGTCTGAAATCACAGTAAATGTTGTTGGACGAGGAAGTTGCATATAGACCGACTTTTACAGTTCGAGTTATAATATATTATAAATATATCAATATTTATAATATACAATGTCTAATACAATTTAATTATTCCAAACTATATACTTAATTGTATATAATATAATAATATATATTATATATATTATATATTAATATATATATAAATATATTAATATTAATAATAATATATTATATATATTAATTTCCAATTGATTATATAGTTAATATGTCTAGTAAAATAGTTAAAGATCAATTTATAAATGAAATGGGACAAACACAAAACGATAAATTCATTTCATCTCTGATTCGGCTTCTCTCTGTTTCTTCTTCTTCTTTTTCTTTTCAAGTTTCTGAGCAACTTTTTCAGGCTTACTATCAACACAACACAACTTACAACAGCAAATACAGATGATCAAGTTCATCAGTATCCCTACCAATATGAGGACAACACCCGCAATGAAGAAACTCTTTCCCTCCCCATACAATTGCCTGTCCAACCAAATGTCAGTCCCACTGCAATTCTTCTCGTAGTCGACTTCAAACTCTTTGCCTTGCGAACTGCAATGGTCTGACGTCACAACACACCGATATGTCCCAACAGCTAAATCTTCAAAGACCCCCTCAGGAGTCCCTGCCTTTGTCTCTACACCAGACAGCGAGTAATTCAGAAGTGTTCCTGTCGTCTTTGCAGTACAAGTCACCTTCCCATAATTACCAGCGCAGTGTGGACTATTCACGACAGTTTGGTCGATGTTAGAGATGGTCTCATATGTCGAGATGATCTTTAAGTCATCTAAAATGATGTGGCAGTACTGGTAGGTCGATGTCCCGTTTTCCAATTCGAAGTCACGCGTTTCAAACGTATATAAAATGTCGATTTTATAAGTCCCTTCAGACACTTCGAACAATGGTGATATTGAGCTTGATGTGTCGTTGGGTGTTTTTAAGTTTGTAATAGTGTATGATATCGATGCGTTGCTTGTAGTCAACTGGTTGACATATATTTTACCTGTTCTCGTATTAGGACACCCGGCATTAGTTAATGTGTACGTCAGCGAAAATTTTTGAAGGGTGGTACCATCCGTTTGAATGCAATCCATCTCTTGGGACTGACTTACAATAAACAATACACACAAAAGTAACATGTCCCTTTCTTTTTCAGTTTCCTTTTTTCACAAGATGGTTTGTTTGAATGGACTTCGGTTCAACAGATTCTTTAATTTTTTTATAGTTCTTATTAGTTTATTTTTAGTATTAAAATTTGTGGATTGATTTTTTATAAAATGGAGTGATAAATGTTTTCCTGTTTTTTAATAAAAAAAATACTTGTTTTTAGTGTTAAATTATTGTTGTTGATTTTAAAGTGTTATGTTTAAATTATTTTTTTATTATAGTTTTAATATAAACATAAGAATAATTTATATAGCATATAATTTAATTTATTACTTTTCATACTATTTACAGACTAGTTTAATTATATTATAATTATTAGTATATTAGCAATTTTGTTATTTAAAAAAATTCCTTTTCAAAATTAAAAATTGGTATATTTAAAATTTTAAGGGTTTAGTAATCGATAATGGTATTTTTCTAACATTTGAATTATAATCAGTAAAACACTTTTAAATAAAAAATGTATCTAAATGTGTATTAATATTATAGTTATTTTTATTAAAATTGAATAATAATTAACATAAATAAAAATATGAACACTGAATTTTCTATTTTTATAGCAAACAAACTAACAATTACTAATAAAATGAATTATTTGATGAACTATATAGTATAGTTAATACCCAACAATTTTTTAATTCATTCCAAATAGAGAGAATGTATCCTGATTCAGTCCATAATGGACTCTTTAAAAATACTAATTGTCAACCGTCCAAAAATATATCGCCTAAATTTCTTTCAATTTGTTTTTTACTAATTTTTTGTTTTTCTCTTATTTGCTTCCAATCGCCCACGTTCTCGTATTTCCTTGATATTTATTAATACAATGGAAACAAAAGCGAAAGTGTCCATTTAAAATCTTTCACGCTTGAGAAAAATGAACGAAAAACTAACAAAACACTGAGATGAGTAATATTGATACAAGTAACATACCTTTCGATTCACTGATCATCGAGACATTAGGAGAGAAGGAAAACATGGCCTGCAAGATGGTGAACAACCTTCTTCATTCAGAGGATGAAGAACAAATATTAACTGGATTGGACAAAATTATGGACAATGCCAGACTCCAAGAGATCATTTATAAAGTAAAACCAACTTATTACCTCTTTTTGCTTGATAAAGAATTTGAACACCAAGACGATGTCCATGACACCGTAGTTGAAATTTTGCGATCGATGGACAGAGAGTACTCCGACTATATTGAACGCCTTCTCCAATACGATGAATACGCCACTAAAATACTTGCCCGTTTTCTAGAGAACGTCGAGACGACCGAGTACAACAAAAAGTCGATATTGTTTACAGTCAAAAACATGACCAAACACAAACAATACGCTGCAACGTGGTATACTTTAATGCCAAGTGTGATGATGGAGTATTCTCCCAACTCGGAGAATAGACAAATTGCTGCTTATATCTTAGACCAAATGGTCGGGCTTGGTCAACCGGCACAAGTCAATTTCATTAAGAACAATGGCTTAGTTCGCATCTCAAACATTTTTGAGACGAACGAGACAGAGAACATTAACACGGGCATAGTCTTACTTATGAAAACGTTTCTCTTGCGGGACAAGAGTGTCTTAAAAGTCTTCAATCAGTACCTCCAAAAGACAGACATCTTCGGTCGACTTGCCAATTTCCTTGATGTTCTTCAAAAGGACGATTTACTTACTTTAGTCAAGCTCTTAAGTATCCTGATTATGAGTGGGGAGAACACTGAAGTCTATGTTGAGAGTGGGATTATGTTGTACTTAATTTCCCTCATAGAATTTCCATTTAAAAACGGAGTCAATGGAGACACGGTGTCCATTGCATTCCAAATTATTCAATACGTCTTTTATAACCCAAACACAAAGAATAAGACAAACGAGTACGGGTTTACGAGTAAATTGGTTCAAGCTATTAGAAACTATAAGAGTCTCTCGAGCGCTTCACTTGATGTTGTCTTGAACACGGTGATGAACATGATGAATGAGCCAGAATTGCGAGACCAATTTGTCTTCTTCAAATGCAGAGATGAGGTTGAGAGAGTCTTTGCCAACTTCACGGACAAGCAAAAGGCGATGGCAAAGACGATCCTTGCGAACATTGAAGTCGTCGAACGAACAATACAGAAGGTCCAAGTCACTGATGAAAAAGCCCAAACGGATATGCAGAAAGTGTTAGGGTCTATTAAATATGCTGAAGAAAAGAGGGCACAAAGTCAGAAGGACAGTGACGACGTGATATCGCCGACAAAAACGCCTGATATTCCTCGCACGAAACATGAGCCTTTTGTTGTGAATTTGAACCCAACGAGTCAAAAGGAGATTCCTCCAAAGGCGGAGAGTCCACAACCCAAATTCCAAGCCGCTAAGAAGAGAGACTCGATCAACGGAAGAAAGACCTTTCTGGCTGAAAGGAAGTCATTTAGACTCTCAAAGGGCCACGACGTCACTCTTGAACTGCAGAACCTCCCGGAGTTTTCTCAAATTGCTTCGACGACGTCGAAGATCACAGTGGACGACGCAAAGGTTATAGCGGAGTTGAATATGAAGAAAGAAAAGAGGAAGTTAATTATACAGGAGATGTACACAACAGAGAAGACGTACGTCACACAAATGGAAAAGTTTGTGAGTTCGGTGTTGCCCACGTTACTCAGTTTAATGCCGCCCGCCGCACAAATGGTTGGGAATTATAAAAACATTTTTGATCTTCATAAAATGTTTTTTGAGAAACTCGAGAAGCGCTTTTTGGCACAAAAGACGGACCCGTTGATTGTTGTGTCGGACCTCTTCATGGAACTTTTTGAAAAGAAAGAACTTGGGGACGAATATCTGAAGTACTTGAGTAACTCGGAAGGTGCGTTGAAGTACAACTTTTCGGCGTATTCGCCACAAATGAAACAACAAGTCATGAAGTGGGGACAGAGCTGCATCATCTTACCGAACTTCTTGATTCTGCCAGTGCAACGTCTTCCGCGGTATATCTTGTTGTTGGAGACGTTGATCAAACACACGCCAGAAGTAGCTCAAGAGGAGTATGGAGCACTGAAAGATGTTTACGCCCTCGGGAAGAAAGTGACGATGCAAATCGACTCGGAGAAGAAGAAGATCGTGAAGAAACAAACGCTTGACAACTATGAGAAGAGCACCACAAATTATCAGCCAAATGCGGGAAGGTCTTTCATACGTGATGGTGTTATGAGTGTCAAAGGAAAGTCGAAAATGGCGGGGACTGTTGTCTTGATGAGCGACGTCTTACTTGTCTTGTCAAAGAAGAAAAACACTTTTGTTATCAAATATTCAATCGATTTGAATGCCATAAAAATTGTACCAAACGACTCCAACTCGTCACTCAGAACTATTCAATTACTACCAGAAAAAGGTAAAGAAGGTCAGTTGACAATGTTCTTCCCAGTTGATGTAGATTTCGATGGGTGGTTAGCAGACTTACGCAACACTAAAAAATGATTTTTAGTTATTTTATTATTAGTTATATTATTACTAATTATACTATTAATTATACTATTAATTATACTATTAATTATACTATTAATTATACTATTAATTATTATTTCTTTTCTTTGAAAATAACACTCCAGTCAAATAGAAAAGAAATAAAAAGAAAAGGGTTTCACTCACAAACAGAAAATGGACAAAAAACAACAGGACAACCGTTTTAAGCGCGATGCGCGATTTGCGTCTGTCAAGCACAGGGGTGGGAACAAAATGGACGAACGTTTTAAGAAGACGCTTTTGAGTGGAAGATTCAACCAGAAGTCAGTCAATAAGTATGGTCAGATAGAGGAAGACTCCTCAACTGTGAATGTGCTTAAGGACCAGTTTGATATGACTCCAAAAGAAGTAGAAGAGATGAAAAAGAAGTTGGATGAGCAACAAGAAGGCAGTGAGCATGAGGACATGGAAATAGAGAAGAAAGGAGTCGAAGAGAATGCGAGTGAAGAAGACGAAGAGGTAGAGATGGAGCCTGGTGTGATGGAAAGTTTTAAAGAGGAAGAAAGGATACCAAAAGGGCAGTGCACACGACGAGTTGGGATAGTTGGATGTGATTGGGATGATCTTAGTGCACAAGAACTGTTTGCGTTGTTAAGTGCGAATCTTCCTCCGACTGGTAAATTGTTAAGTGTAGGGATATATCCTTCTCAATTTGGAATAGAGAGGATGGCACGAGAAGAAGAAGAGGGATTACCAAAGGATTTATGGAAAGGTAATGTCGAAGAAGTCGTCGAAGTGATTGAAGACAAAAATTTATTAGATCCAAATTATAAGCCAGTCTTCACTGTCGCTTCGGACGATAAAATAACAGAGGTGAACCCAATTCTCGAAGTCAAAGATGAAGAAATGAAAAGTGACAGCGAAGAAGATAATGATGAAGACTTGGGACTTCGACCAATTGCTCAAGAAATGAAGACGGCTTCGTCAGGAGAGAAAAATCCAATCAAATTTATGGACCGCGAAAAACTCGGCGTCTACGACAACGAAAGAAAAAAGTACTACTTTGGTGTTGCCACGTTCGACTCTGCACAAACGGCGAATGACGTCTATGAAATGGTCGACGGAAATGATTTGGAGTTCTGCGAGTTTAATTTGGATCTGAGATTCTTACCAGACGACCTCGAATTGCCGTACGAAGCGACAGATTACTGCGATAAGCTTGAAAAACTGATTTCTAGAGAGGGAAGAACACGAAAGGGACACAGCCACATCATGTGGGACTCTAATGATAATCGTAGAATTATCGCACTGAACAAAAATTGGATGGACGAAGATGAGGCCGACGTCTTAGCCCATGAGGAGATGTATAAAGAGTACATTGAGCACTCAAGTGATTACGAAAACTCTAACGAAACATCCGAAGAAGGTGACAATCAAATGTCTGAAGATGAAGAAGGGAATGACAATGGCGAAGAGACAGAAAGTGCACAACAGAAAGTTCAAAACAAGAAGAAAATAAAGAAAGAGAGTTCGAGTAATGACTCTGAAGACTCTTCAAAGAGCGACGAGTCGAATGAAGAGAGTGATGAAAGACCAAAGAAAGAAAGCAAACCAATTAAGAAGTTTTCTTCATTGCTTGAGCCAACTAAGAAGTCGAAGAAACATAAAGACGAGTCCGATGTTATTCGAAAGAAGTACGAAATATTGTTAGGAGAGAACATTGGAGAGGAAGGCGAAAACGCAGAAGGAGAACACGTGATGAAATTCTACACCGACGCTGAAGTTGAGAAACCAAAGAAAGACTTGAAGAAAGAGCGTCGTGAAAAGGAGAAACAAAAGGAAGAACTTGAATTGTTGATGATGGACGATTTACAAGAAAACGAAGAGAAGAAGAAAGGAAAGCGTTTGGAGGAGACCGAAGACTCGAAAAAGCCAAAGAGAAAAGACAAGTTGAAAAAGAAGTCGAAGAAAGAGAAGATGGACACTGGGTTTAAGATTGATACTACAGATGATAGATTCAAGAAGGTCCTTAACTCTAATGACTTTGAAATCGATGTCACAAATCCAGAGTATATGGCTACAAGAGGTATGAAAGAACTCGTTAAAGAGAAGCACAAAGCATTCGATAAGAAGAACAAAGAGTTCAAGAAACAAACAAAAAAGGAAGACAAATAAATTGATTGATTATTCGATACATTCAATTCAGAAAACAGTCAACCATCATTCCATTACACATTACCTGTCTTGAGTAATATACATGTGTATACCTTTGTTTATTGTGTTATATCGATTCAGTGCCAAACTTCTGTATTTGAGTATTTCTATATTTATAATAGATTAATTAATAGATTAATTATTAATTAACTATTAATAAAATAATAGTTACTATTAACTATAAATATAATAACATTTTATAATAACAAACATAAAAACTGATCGCCAAATTCTGATCGATAGTAAGATACGCTCCACTATTTGTTACAGTTCCACAATAAAACGGAGCGGAAAATAGAGTGATACAACACCCATTTAATACAGCAAATCCATCTACCATTTCATGTGCTCGAATCAGTAGTTGCAGACCATTTTCATTCAAAAAATTACATAACACGTCAAGTCCAAAATAACAGCCAGTACCTCGTTCATTTGGCCCAAAGCCATTTTCCTCTAAAATAGGATCTGCCCATAAAACATCTGTTATGAGCCCTTCCTCCGGGATATCGACTGGCCGATTGATCTTTGTGAGTTGGGAGAGCTGCAAGAGTTTAGGTGATATTCCACCGTGGATACACAATATCTTCGAGTCGATAACTGCCGAGAATGGGAGGACGTTGAACGTAGACACAAAAGCGTTCCACACAGCCAAGTGTCCATACTTTCTGAGGCACTCGTCGTGGAAGCCATATATTCTGTTGAGTGCTGCGCACTCGTGGTTTCCTCGTATTAAATAGATGTTATCGGGGTACTTCAATTTCAGTGCAAATAGAAGACACAAGATCTCGACACCGGACTTTCCTCGATCAACGTAATCACCAAGAAACAAATATTGTTGGTCGGGGGGAATACCATTTCGTTGGAAAATTCGAACTAAATCAGTGAATTGCCCATGTAAGTCCCCGACGATAGTGATTGGAGTTTGAAGAATCAATTCAACGGGTTGTGAAAGAAAGATTCTTCGGATGTTTGTACATAAGTAACTATTCATTACTACCAATTTTAAATGAAGAAGACACAGAGAACGCTTGTGTTATGGGGGAACCAGTAAAACAAACTAAATTGTTTCTTGCGGAACTAATTTCTCCTTCGTTTCTTTCAATAGTTCAACAATCAAAATATCGAGGTCTGGCGTTGTTGTGGGTTGTGGAATTATCAAACGTCCTTTCTTCGGCATGTATTTCTTCGTTTTCAAGTTTCATTTTTACTAATTTTGACTTAACACTACAAAAACTATATCTAGTTTAATATAGTAATATTTTACTAAATATAATAATAACATAGTAACTAATTTGTTGTATTGTTTAAATATAGTTTTATTTATAAATTAATTAAAGACTTGACACATTTAACTCTTAATATTAATTTAATCTTGAAACATTGTAAAGATATATTTTTACTACTGTTATTAAATAAAGTTAAAAACCAGAATTTAATAGTTTTAATAACTTCATTTGTGAAGTTGTTTTTGACGTCCATAATTTATAGTACAGTAGAAATTCTATCTGTGTGTGATTCCATCCATGTGTGACTCTATTGGTGTGTGGTTTTGACCAATCAAAAGTGGCCTACACACCTATTTTGATTTTCTATAATATTGATAGAATATAATGATTTCCCACATATTTGGCACCAAAACCCGCAAAAATAATGTCAATTTGCAATTTTGTTTTTATTTTAAAAGAGTAAAGACTTGGTAATAAAAACTTAAAAAGAGAAAAATTATCAAACAAAAATAAATTCAAAAAAGATAAGAAAAGAAAAGCAGAAAATGTTTCTCTTAAAATATTAAATTTTAAATGATAATAAAAAATGCACCGACTTCCACACCAATCACAAGAGCACGCTTGTGATTGGTGTGAGGACAGAATTGATACCTAAAAATTAACAATTTCAGCAAGGAAGTCACAGATATTTACGACACATGCAGACAACCAGCCTGGCGTGCTCATCCAAGTCTTTGAGGGCGAGGCATATATGACATCACATTGCAACCTGCTTGGCAAGTTTGGGTTGTTTGGTATCTTATTAGCACCACATGGAGTCTCACAGTTGAAGTCACATTTGACACAAATGCAAATGGGATATTAAATGTGTCGGCTGAAAACGAGACAACAGGAAAGAAGATTCTCAAAGGCACAAGTGGACAAGATGGTTGCAGAGCAAAGAAGTTCAAGGCAAAGGACGACAAGATGATGACTTTTGAGGCTAAAAATCGACACTCACCTTATGCTACCGTGTAATAACACAATGAACAAGCAAATTTTTTCAAGGTTATCAACAAAAGACAAAGAAGCAATTGAAGCAATTATCAAGGTACTCGAGTTGTAAATTGACAAGAATCCGCACCAAAAGTCCACGTGTTTATACAAAAACACAATGCGTTGTTCTTATTCTAAACAATTAAACGATTTAAAAATTCACAATATTATGTTATGTTAACACGTGTCGCGTTTTTTTCTCAAAAAAACAAAAAAATACATTTTGTCATTTTTCTTGATTGTGAATAGTTTTACAAATTTCATTATTTTTTAGTTTTTTTGCCAGAAATTAAAAAAGAAAAGAAAAAAAATTTACACACCTTGGGAAAACCATTTTCATGACTCCACACACCGATAGAATTTTTACTGTATAAAGTTATAATAAAAATAAAAAATGTTTTTTTCATTTTTTGACATCAAAGTGTTACATTTCCACAAAGGAATAATTCCATTTCATGACGAACTTAAAACAATCAAAAGAGAAAGAATGGGCCTTTTCTTCTTGTTTGTAATGTTTCACATGAGTGTCACATCAACTGTATACAACACCGACTTGTCATTAATTACATTCAAACATCAAAAGTCCAATAGTTGTGTGGCATCTCAAGCCAAAAATGACTGTATATGTGACAGGGGGTGTCTTTCGTGTAATATCCGTTTTAACTGTGATAGGTACAAAGAGCATCATGTTTTCCTGACAGGAAGGGATTATGTCACACAGTGTCCATCCAGTGACAATGAGTTAAAGGAGACATGTACTCTAAACTTTACCTTCGACAATTCCGACGTCACTTCAAATGTCGCTTTCATCTCATTTGTGACACTTCTTGTCGTATTTTTGACGTACGTCCAACGGTTAGATGTCTTCTTTCGTGACTTCCTTTACTTTTCCTCTGTTTTATGATTCGCTAATTTACTATACATTAATAGTTTGTTTTATTATACCATATACTTCTTAAAACGGAAATACAGACGGACAGCAATCACAAGTTGAATGTAGATTTTTACAAGAAGTCTGGGATTTTCATGTCCTTGAATTTCGGCAATTGGAGGACTCTCAAAAGATGTTCCTTACTGACGTTTTCATCGCCGCAGTGCCTGCACTTCATCTTTTTACAAAAGGGGCACCGAATGACCAGAGAATTGACTTCGACTCCAAAGAGTGTTTCACAATCGTTACAGAAGTATGGGAACATCTTTGGGTCTTTCATTAGCTTGTCGAGCTCCCTTGTATCAGTGCTTTTCATGGTGTCTTCCATCAAAGTCTTTTCTGAATACAACACACACTTTGTGCCACTTTCATTGAAGTGGGCATACCCATGGATCCTCTTCCCACAGTTATAACAAAACTCGCACCCACACGTGCAGTTAATGTGGTTACAGCCATACGCCTTTAACACCGGGCACTTGCATAATGGGCACTTCTTCATATTTTTTATCGACAGTTCACCAACGAGTTCCGTGTAATAACTCTCCGATTTAAATCGGTCTAACGACAAAACATCGTAACACGTCCCCACGTGGTTGGTACACAAACAGACGGAACAAAACGTCTTCTCACAATTGGCACAGATAATGGGCGTCGACTTTTTGTGGACTATTGGGTCGACCAAAATGCCGGTGTAATTACAAAAGGGGCACACTATATAGTCTCCAGAGCTTTGTATACTCATCACCGCAAGTTGTTTCTCGTACTTGATGATATCCTCTCTGACACAAACAGACTCCAATTCCCACGGCAATATCTCCTCTTTACACTCTGCGTATGGACACAACATGAACTTGCCTGATGAGATCGCGACAAGTAGCTGACTCTTCAAACAATTTTTACACAGAAAATGCCCACATGAGGAAAACACGACAAAGTCCTTTGGCGGACATTCTTCATAACACACATCACATGTAACGAAGTCTTGAGAGTAAAATACTTTTTGCGTCACATCGAAGTTGTACTGCAAAAGTTTCTGCTGCCTGTCTTCTCGTGTCAGAGGTGCTTTGGGGAAGAGTCTGATATCAAGGGTTTCTGGTCGGGACTGATCGATGGTCTCGTAGAGTAAGACGAAGAGCCCCCGTCCGTCGAAGACGGACAAAGCCTCTTCGACGGTGTTTTTGATTTTGATCAACTCGGACACGGTCAGCCACAACGACGTGATTTGGAAGTTTGGGATGTTGAAATCGAAAGTGATATGAATGACTGTAGGTGGAAGGTATTTAATAGTCGTTTGGTTTTTGTTCACATACATCCGCGGGATGTTCTTCGATGTTGGGATGATCGAGAAAGGGATTGCAGAAACACCTTCCATCTGTGTCGGAACAGTTAGGACATACTCCCCCACCGACGTGCGAGTCAAACAATTTGGAAATATTTGGTTCATTATCTCAAAGTCTTCTGTTAATTCGCTCGTGATGGAGTTCTCATTCGCCATCAAAAACCATTTTCAGATGGTTTAAAACTAGATTGTCCAACAACAAAAAATGACTATATGAGGGGTTTGATCCGTAGACAATCGGGGGTTTTAAATGAGTTTTAGCCAAAAGAATAGAAACTATACTTGTTGTTATTTATATTATATTTTAACTATACTATTTATTTATTATGAGATAGTTATATTAATAATTGAAAGTATTAACATTAATTAAGTCAACATACAAAACAACAATATTGTATACATGATAATATTATACTATATTTATTATAACTAAATTATATTAATTATATATTTTTTTATTCATTTTTTTTTAATGTTTATAAGATATCCAAAGATAAAACAATCAAACCAAACAATTTACTAATTAATGGTTTATGTATACTATTTTTATAATAAAACCAATTAAACACACCGAAAAGTTGTTTTGTCAACCCTAGAAATAAAACACATTCAATCGACTTGACTTAGTTGATTAAGTACTAGTTAATATATAGTACATTTAATTATAGTTATAGTTTTCCCCCAAACATCACAATTGAAACAAACTTCAAAACTGCCACAGAAATAGTTTATTCATTTTGAAAAACTCAAGATTAACGTTCGAAGTTTTTAGGTGCATTTAAAAATGTGTTTTTCCGAACACAAGCCTCAAAGTACGACTATCATGAGAAATGTATAAGAGGGTTCTTGAGTCACTGAAAAACAGAATGGCAATTCCAAAGCAGAAGGTGACGAGCAGTGAGGCGAAGCGTATTTCAGTCTCCTACGAAGCCGAACAGGAGACTGTTTTAATGGCCTTGTTGCTTAAAGTTGGTGTTGAATCCTTTACATTGATGTGTCCACGGAAGAGAAGTGACAACAGCCAGTTCTTGGACATCTTAGGCATTTCTATTCTGGGCCAACAATTGAATTTTCAGGACTATATTGAGCACCTCATTTTAGCAAGTGGGAAGTCGATTGCGAAAACCTCAAAGAATGGAGTGAAGTATGACAAACGGAATCACAACGCTGCGACGAACAATACACTCGTCGCGTTGTTAGAGAAGGCCGGATTTAACATTGTGTTTAAAAACACGAAGGACTCAAATGTCACATTGAAAATGAATCGAGTCAACGTCATTTCCTTTGGCAATTTGGTACTCTCGTGGGATGTTATTACAAGTGTTGGCTCTAAGATGAACATGAAAATTAAGCAGATTGCACAAGGCTCGAAAAAAGAAGAGAACTTTGTGTTGACTCTTGCCACATTGGATATCGCCGATTTCATTGAACAATGCACTTTCACGGCTCATATCGACCAAAAGGTGTTATTGGAGTACATCAATCCTATGGCATGCTCTGCACAAATAGAAGGGAACTACACCGATACTGTTACTCCATTTAATACAGCAGTGTTTAATCAAAGCGAAGTGTCGTCTAAAGTACCTAAGACGATACTTAATGAAGCGAAAGAAGAAGAACTCCCACCAGTCCCTTTGGATGATGAGGTTCAACAAATCGAACAATTCCAACAGATGGTACCTGCTATCTTTGTCGACCCTATCTCTGGGTTGTATTACTACTACTCCTGCCAACCTAACTTGTTTGTTGAAGGTCAGAACGTCATTCAACAAACTGAGAACAACGAAGAGACGTTCTTCACTAACGCGTAGTACTCACTTGGTACTCTGAAACACACAAATTGGGTTAATATTTGTGACAATGGAAATGCCTGTAAAGCGGACGACTGACTGATCAATGAAACTTTGCAAGTTTATTTTGTTTTTATTTTTGTTTTGATTGCACCAAAGAATGTATCAACATCAATTAAGTTCGGAATAATCGCTTTGGTTGTATTTTTTCAGTGCTACTTTACATTTGGAAGCCACTTTAATGGGTACTAAAACAATAAGAAAACCTGCTAATAAAAAGACAAATAACGCTATGACACAACAAATCACTATTGTATCGATTGTCGTTTCATTCATACAACTTTTGAGTATGAGGTGATAGGAATGAGCACATACATAACACTCATCTTGGCCACACTCAATACAATCCGCTCCACATGGTACACACCGGCCGTCTTTTAAAAAGTATCCCTCTGCACATTGGATACAACTTGTATCATTACATTCAACACAATTTGAACACGCTTTTTGTAATTGATTGTATTCAAAGAACAAAAAACAAACTGTCCTGTTTATAAAGCAGTTGAGCGGAATGTGAGTAGACTTGAGATTCCGTCTTTGGATCAGAAGAAACAGTTTCCATTATCAAGAAACAAAGAAGAAACATTACAACTAACGGAGAACCCATTGTTTTTTTATTTTAAGTGTGTTCATTTTGTTGGAATTATTTCCCTATTCTAATAGCAATTTTTGTTTTCTTTCACCACTTGTTATTTTACAAAACAATAATGAAGACATCTATTTCGTTATTTCTATGTAATCAAAAATAAAAAACAAAAGAAATGTTTTGCCATCAGTAAAAAAGAACAGAATATCTAAGTAAATTTCTTAGTTTTTCGACTCTTCTTTGTGATCGTTTTTTTTCATGAATTCATTTGGATTTCATTGAGCAAGACACCGGGTTTATTTTCCAAATACATTCCGTTGTTTTGGAATTTTCTATAACCCACTTTATATAAAACAAATGATACATTTTAATTTGAAAAAGTATAATTTAAACCATAAAAATGATTATGAAATATCATCATTGCCACTCACCAATTGCTTTTCAAACAAGAATTTTTTATGTTTAAATAAAATAAGAAAAATTACGAAACTTTTACACAACTTTCCAACTGTGAATAATAACCAATTAAATATGCAAATGTAACATGAAAAATACTTGATAAACAAATTACACATCGATGAATTTCATTGTAACAATGATGTTTACAGCCATTGTGACAATCGTAAGCATGTAACACCAGAACAATATCGTCGAAGACGAATCCGTTCCCTTTGGGTAACACACGTTGACAACAATAATAGAGTTGAGTGCAGGGGGTGTGAACGATTCCAATTGAAGTACAAAATACATCACTTTGTTATCAGGCAACACTCGGTACCTATACATCAAATATGTTGCAACCCACGCAACAACTGGGAACACCACCATCCGATACGCAAGCCCAATGAGTATTTTCCACGTTGGAATATTTCCCCCTCGTGGTCCATTTGATAAACTTCCGCCCAACAAAAACAGCGCACAAAAGACAGTAGAGCTTCCCAAGTAGTAGATACATCTCCCAATGATACTCCAATCCCCACGGATGAGTAGTGGATCACGTATCCATTTGACTAACATGAAGATGATTCCCAATATAGCCGCCATAGTTGGGATTGAGAAGAAGTTTTTGATAGAGAACCTGACGATCGAAGGGAGTTTGTTCCAGACAAAGAGAAATGGTGTTGCGATTATGAGAAAGACTCTTTTGATCTTTTGTGAACACATTTGAATAAAATGATGGACGGTCGAATCTTTTGTTGGCAAACCATTTTGAGAGGAATTGTGGTCATTCAATCCCTCGTCTAAATTATCGTGCGGTGGTATTACCGTTGTGTTGTGCTGCTTTTCGATTGTATTCTCAGACTTTTCGTTGTGGTCGTCCTTTTCTTCCGAAGTATTACTTTCATTTTCCATGTGAGTCACCACCGTCATGTTCTTTTGGTCTTCTAAAACAATTTCAACAGAATCTTTGTCAGATGAGGAACTTGTCGTCGCAATTTCTTTTGAACTTTTCTCATCGGACGTTTTAATTTTGTCTGCCATTTCAGTCTCCGCCTGTGCCTTCTGTTGTTCTTGTAACGCAGTGTCTCTTACATTTAAGTTGATGTAGTTGTATCCTAACACAAAAAATCCGACCATAAAGGAGAGCTGATATGTACATATATAACTGAAAGCTAAATCCTTGGCTTTGTCGCCCAATTCATTTGTCTCTGTCGTGAGAGCTTCAATAACTGCCATTGGTATATACATCACATTACCAAAACCTAACGTGAATGTAAAGACCCGATTGTCGAGTTTTGGTATTCGTAAAAGAGTGCCTAGGAGTAATGATCCAAAAAACTCAAGTATCATATGAGCTATACAAAACACGGGTAATATCCACAACTCCTTTAATTCACTGATTTCGGATATCGCAGTCGCAGTCTGGTAAAACACTATTGCCGGCATGAAAAAGGTGAATATCAGGCGTGACCACCCCGCTCGGACAGTGGTGTCAAACCCAACCCAACGCGCTGCTACAAACCCCATCAATGCGATGAATACCAACTTTATCAGTGCAAAAAAAGCCACTTTTATGAGCGTGCCAATGTCCATCGCCATAAAAAAAGAATTGGATATAAAAGATTGGAGATGCTTTTAATATCAAAACCCTTTAAAAGTCTGTCGATTTCCTTCTGTTTTCCATACTGAGTCGTTATAAATTATTTTGTGTGGAGCGTATGTTAGTAAATCGATAGATTAGTTATAACTTTAAAAAGGTTTTTCCCAAAAAGGAATTACAAACTTTTTTTGTCATAACAATATTATATTTGTTTGTTTTGATAGTAATTTACACGGCTTTTTCTCGAGTTGTGAAATCTATTCTTTTAATTGTGTGGATTTGGGATGGAAGTTTCTTTTTAAAGAAATCAAATGTATTATTTTTAATAATTTCATATACCAATAGTTTTAATACTGTCAGTTGTGTTATATATGGTTGATGTTGTTAGATAATTTGATTACTTTTGAAAACAAAAATTAAGAAGACAAGAAGAAAGATGTTTGAGTTGAAATACGATAATCACGATGAATGTCACATTTTCAAAGCTTTTTTAAATGCGTATTGAAGTTTTTTAATATTGAAGAGTAAATGACTATTTAAAATCTGTAATATCATTTTGTATCTATTTATTATACTGTAACTATTAAAATATCATATTCTTTCAATAAAAGCATTGAATTGTTTAAGAATAAACAATGTGGTGCAATTATTTGGATTTCATCGCACTATGTACCGTATGAATTACATATAACTTTTGTTGAAAATGTATATTCTTTACAATGTATTAAGCAGAACACCATTTATAATTCAAATTAAATAACATTTTGATGAATAATTTAGTTCTGAAATAAATTGAAATTGAACGGATATTATTAGGCTTCATATTTCAATATTTTTATTTGTGATGAAATATTTCAACACCGAAATAGCATTTGTTTATTTGAATCAAAATTTGCTCCAAAAGAAAATACAAAACGCTTCAAACAACAAATTAAAAATTGAACAAAATTAACATATAGCAGTACACGTCGACTTAGAAATTGGAATGGAAGAAAAATTGGAAGGAGACGTTTTGATCAATAAGAAATTGGGAAGCCTTTGCCATTGCGATAATTTGAATGTGTTGCGACATCTTTTTGACTTGTTGTATATCGAGAAGACCTTTGTCCTCCACGTTGTCTTTTTTCAACTCCTCCATCTCTTTTTTCCACACAATATAACTTGGGGTTTTAGGGCATTCGTTGTCCAAACTTTCATACTCTTCTCGATAATTTTTGAAATCGTTGTTCTCGTCAAACGTCCTCTTCAATTTCTCAAACATCTCTTTTGTCGCGGCGTCAAGTTCACTTACCCTTTCCGGCTGTTCTTTAACTAACGCGTTGATCAAATTAAAGAGCGAATGGCCGACCGTATAATCGCGAAGGGTGACACTTACGTTCGCTATTTTAATAAAGACTGAAACTCCGTTTTGTTGTTTGACTATCTTTTCAAAGATGTGGTCGACCGCTTTGAACTTCTGTGAATACTTTTTGAGTTTATTTGAACTCTCACAGAAGTAAAAATCCTTCAAAGGAAGATTTTCAAAGAGTTCTCTGTGGTAAAAGATGAGTTGTTTCCCAATGACACACGGACTCAATGACAAAAAGTTCTCGTAATTGACGTCGAAGACCTTTTCATCGTCGACACACTCACTTTTCTCGGACACGGGGTACGAACACATCGAGTCGCGCGACGTCGATCGACTCTTCCTCTTCTTCCTCTCCATTCGTTCTTCTTTAATTTGATATGACTGCCTCTTTGATTTGTTGTAAGAAACAACGCGTGGGCTTTTATCGTCGTTGAACGACGAAAACGACGATCCATAATTCTCAAGCGACTTCTTTATCAAATTTTCAATTTCGTCGGAAAACCGTCCATTGTCGAAATGGATGAGGAGCATCTCCTTGACATCATCGTCAAACGTCTCCTCGATGCTCAAGAAGTACAACAAAATTTTCTCGAGACGACGTTTCCTCTCCGCTTCGGAGTTTTCGATGTTTTGTAAAATACCGTCGACGCGACTTTCACTTTGTGTCTTCATGCGTTTGTCAGCCTTTTTCGTCTCCTTTTCTTTAAGCTCGTTCATCTCCAATGCGAAGTTCCGCAAACTGTCGTTGGAGACTTCCGCGGGAAGCAACGCTTCCTCGACACACAATTTGCACAACTCTTTTGGCGTAAAGAAGAACTTCCAAGACGTTACGAAGAGGTCCAAATAATCTTTGTCGTCGAAGGAGTCGAGAGCTATTTGAAAGAAGACCTTCTTCGACATTTTCAGGATGTTCCCAAAATCGTCGAAGACAGGGTCTGCGTTCTGTTCAAAGACTTCTGAATTTGTTTGTCTTATCGTCGCGACAAAACTCTTCGCTTTCTCCGTGGAGCATAAATCGCCAAATAACATCTCCGCGAGGTCAGCGTCATTCACTGAACTCCTATTCGCCAACACCTCAAACATTTCGCGGTTGACCTTTTCCATTCGCCAGACGACAAGACGAGGCGGGACGCAATAACACATCTCTGGCTGTTGGAGTAATTGATACGAATTTGTTCTAAAAATTTCAAGTAAGTTGGATGTGGGAAGACCAGAGCGGACGGCTTCATACACCACTTTTTGATTACCACCATTGGTCTTCTCTTCTTTTTTCCACACAACGATATTTTTAAAAAATTCAAATGTTTTGGCCAAAGAGGGCTGGCGCGTTCGTCGTGGAGAAGTTTTGTAAGTTTCTGATGGAGAAAAAGAATACCGAGGACTGAGGAACGGGGCGGATGTGATTGAAACGGGGGATATCCGCAGGTTTTTCAGCATTGTTTGAGCCATGTGAATAACCAGTTTGATTCGGTTTGGAATTCCTTTGAATAATTTGAATCAGCTGCACAACCTTGCAATTTTCTTTCTTTCTTTGCCATTTTCCTATCGAAAATAAGACGATCTTTTACAAAAACAAACCAAATCATGATAAACGCTTCAAGGTACTATAGAAAAGCTATTCAATCACCTTGGAAATAATTGGAGTTGATTTAAGACTGGACGTTGAACATTTTTTGCTCATACCCTTTTGTTTTTTTGGTGTGGTTTTTTTCTGTAATTAATTCGGCTTAGAATGGTTCGGTAATGATTTTGTTACTAAAAGAAACGATAGATTAGACAGACGGATTTATGGAATAGCAAGAAGAGATATTATAACAACACGTTGATAGTTTTCTATAAAATCTTTGCCGATTTGGTATGGAAGAATCGTTTTAAGAAAAAAACAAAATTTTCAGCAGTGCCAATCATTGTATTATATTGTAACATCGAAAGCAATTTGGCCATATTATCTTTTAATACAATTGATTCAAATAATAAAAAGTGTGGTTTCGGTCAATTATAGAAAAACTGTGGGAATATCTAGAGATTTTTTTTCTATGGCAAATTGTATTTTTTTTTCTAGAATTGTTATTAATATTTTTTTTATTGAAATTTTAGTTTTTATATACTAATAATATATTATAGCATCTTTTGTGTTATAAAAAACTGAAATTTACCCCTTTTTATTATTAACTTCTGGAAAAAACAAAAACAAAAATATAAATAGTTTAATAATTTATAATACAAAATTATAATATACTAAAAATAAGAAACCATTTCAATTAACTCTGTAATAGTTTTTATTATTATTTTTTATAAATTTAAACTTGATAATGTTTTGTTTTCTTCATTCAATAATTTAACATTATTTTTATCTACAATGTCGGGATTATTATTCTATAAAAAAAATCATTTTTGAGATATCAACAACTACCCTTTGTAATTTCTTCGAAAAAATCAAAAATAATTTAAAAAACAAATACTTTTCTCAGAATTGTTTTAATAAATTATTTACAATGGAATAGTTATAAATACTAAACATGAAATTGTGTTATTTTATCTCAAAACTGTTTTATAAATTTCATTATCGGCGGATAAATCGGTGATAATAAAACAGTTGCCTAGATTTTTGATATTTCTGTAATGTTTAAACAACATTGTTCTAAAAATGCATATCGACATGTGGTTTTCATCAGATAAAAACCCATACATTAATAGTAAAGTAAATCAATTAAAATAGTTTGGCAAATACTCTTTGAATCTCTCGTAATAGAACATGTATCTCTTTCTCACGTCCTCCTTGTCAAAGACTATTTTATCATCATCGCTTACAATCTTCCCAAAACTTTCCTGTGGGTGGACCATATTTTTGATGTTTTGTTCGAATTCTGGTGTATACTCCATTCCAAAGTACTCATAGATCTTTTTAGTCTCTCCAATGGGGTCTTTTGTCATTGATGAGAAAGCCAAGTCGTAGATTTGTTTTTCTCTCTTTGGGTCTTCCTTGACCCATGCGTCTCTTGCCGCAATTGAATTCTTCAAACACAAAGTGTTCATTCTAATGACATTTTCGTTGAGCCACTTGACATCATCAAAGCCAAGGTCGTCAGGGAAGTTTCCTCTTATTCTGAAGTACCCTGTTATTACACTCTTCAACTCTGCAATGGGCTCTCTATGAATCCAGACTACTCTTCCTTCAGTCTTTCTGACCATATCCAAGAAGTCACCAGGGTTTAAGAAATGCGACACTGCCTTCAAACAAAGGTGTTGCTTCTCAGTCATTCCCAAGTCCATGATATGCATTTTGAACTCCTCGATCATGGCGTCATACATGAATTGGTATGATCGTTTGAAGATGTTTTCTCTGTACTGTTCGAGTCTTGGTAGGCATGATGAATAGATTAATGTGTGTCCCAACATCTCCATGAAAAAGATTTCTTCCTCTGCTTTTTTAACATCGTCAAGTGCGTGGACTTTGTTGAATTGGTCTTTTTCATTGATTACGGGATTTACAATTTTGTTGGCAAAAGCTAATCTTCCTTCTCTGCACATCGTCTTGCTTCCTGGAGAGAGATGTTCATACAGTGCAATACAATTCGCGTTTGGGTCTTGACTTAATACGGCGTGTGTGAATGTTGATCCACTTCTTGGGAGTGCAACAATGAAGAGGGGGTTCTTAATTGTGATTTTGTCAAGCTCTTCTTTACAAGTGTCCTTTTCATACAAGAATCTATAAGTCATTGTTTTGTATAAAAAATGTGTTAATGTCTTAAATACGTTTATTATACAAACCTAAGATAAGACTGCACCTTTCCAACACTCGATCTAAAGGAATTCTTAAAAATAGCGGATTCACTGTCAAAACACCCTGCAAAGAAGTCTTGAATTGATCCTTTAAAAACTGAATCTTCTAACTGAGCATGGTATTTCAACGGAAGTGTTTTGTACTCTTCAGCTCTTGATGGGTCCAATTGACTCATGAGACCAACTGCATACATCTGGATTTTCTGGTATATACCAACAAATGGCTCGTCAGGCATAGCATGGCGCATATGGGGGTTGGTTTTGTCAAACTCATAGAGGTTGGGGTTTTGGAAGGTGGACATATGTAATTTGGGTTTGGAGTTGGTTTATATAGAGTTATTTCCACTCTAAACTCTTCATTAGTTCTTTTGAATGTTAAAAAATTCTAAACAAGACAAATAAAGA